AGGGAGGAGAGGAAGGGGAGGGAGGAGGGGAAGGGGAGGGAGGAGGGGAAGGGGAGGGAGGAGAGAAAGGGAGGAGAGAAAGGGAAGGGAGGGAGGAATGAGGGATGATGGGGAAGGGAAAGGGGGTGCCGGGCGATGAATTGGAGGTTTGCATCTCACCTACAGATCCGGTGCCGTCTATAATGGCGGTCACTGTAGACAGGGCGTGTGCATTTCCCTTTAATGACTTGTGCGTCCCCTGGAAGAGATGGAGGAGGAAGGAACAAGGGGCAAGTGTCACATTTAAAGATTTGACAGGAGTGGGCGGGGTTTGTAGTCCTCAGGTGATGACATCACAATATTATAGCAGCTATAAAACACTCACCAGATCGGCTGATCCACTAGCCACACCCTTTACTATCCTCCAACCCCTCCACTAGCCACACCCTTCACTATCCTCCAACCCCTCCACTAGCCACACCCTTTACTATCCTCCAACCCCTCCACTAGCCACACCCTTTACTATCCTCCAACCCCTCCACTAGCCACACCCTTTACTATCCTCCAACCCCTCCACTAGCCACACCCTTTACTATCCTCCAACCCCTCCACTAGCCACACCCTTTACTATCCTCCAACCCCTCCACTAGCCACACCCTTTACTATCCTCCAACCCCTCCACTAGCCACACCCTTTACTATCCTCCAACCCCTCCACTAGCCACACCCTTTACTATCCTCCAACCCCTCCACTAGCCACACCCTTTACTATCCTCCAACCCCTCCACTAGCCACACCCTTTACTATCCTCCAACCCCTCCACTAGCCACACCCTTTACTATCCTCCAACCCCTCCACTAGCCACACCCTTCACTATCCTCCAACCCCTCCACTAGCCACACCCTATACTGACCGCACTCTATTACCCGCCATCTACCCTTTAGTAACAATCTTTATATCGGGCCCCCGGACTCCGGTTTTTGCCGTCATGTGACTTTCCCACACCGAGAACTCACCAAAAATTCCACCAACATCGAAGAGAGTGGACAAGTCACCAGCATGCCGAGCGTCCATCCGACCTGCCAGGACAAGATGGCGGAAGCACTCACTATACTGAATAATGGGAGGAGCCACAAGAAATGGTCCTTGTAAAAGGGGGAGGAGCAATGTAGAGTATAGAGGCATCAAAAGGGGTAGCAGGAGGGGCTCTGTGGAACAAAGGAAGGTGGGAGGAGTTTTACCTGTGGGAGGAGTTATTCCTCTGGGGAGTGGTGGGAGGAGTTTTACCTGTGGTGGGAGGAGTTATTCCTCTGCCGAGTGGTGGGAGAAGTTTTACATGTGGGGAGTGGTGGGAGGAGTTATTACTCTGGGGAGTGGTGGGAGGAGTTATTAATCTAGGGAGGAGTTATATTCACAGACCTAGATTTACAGTAATGGGAGGAGTTGTTTTGCATAGTGGGAGGAGTTCTGTGGAGAAATGGGGAGGGGTCAGGACAGATGATACTCACCAGCACTGGCCATGTACAAGGGCAGCCAGAAGAGGAAGGTGTAACTGACCAGCTTGGCGAATAACAAACACACGGAGAACTCCACCACGCCCTGCGGGGACACAAGAAACAACGTCACCGGACCTCCCCTGAGGAACCTCCCCCAACACGTACTGCTCATCATCCCACGCTGGACCTCCCCTGAGGAACCTCCCCCACCACGTACTGCTCATCATCACACGTTGGACCTCCTCTGAGGAACCTTCCCTCAAGGTGTAACTGACCAGCTTGGCGAATAACAAACACACGGAGAACTCCACCACGCCCTGCGGGGACACAAGAAACAACGTCACCGGACCTCCCCTGAGGAACCTCCCCCACCACGTACTGCTCATCATCACACGTTGGACCTCCTCTGAGGAACCTTCCCTCAAGGTGTAACTGACCAGCTTGGCGAATAACAAACACACGGAGAACTCCACCACGCCCTGCGGGGACACAAGAAACAACGTCACCGGACCTCCCCTGAGGAACCTCCCCCACCACGTACTGCTCATCATCACACGTTGGACCTCCTCTGAGGAACCTTCCCTCAAGGTGTAACTGACCAGCTTGGCGAATAACAAACACACGGAGAACTCCACCACGCCCTGCGGGGACACAAGAAACAACGTCACCGGACCTCCCCTGAGGAACCTCCCCCACCACGTACTGCTCATCATCACACGTTGGACCTCCTCTGAGGAACCTTCCCTCAAGGTGTAACTGACCAGCTTGGCGAATAACAAACACACGGAGAACTCCACCACGCCCTGCGGGGACACAAGAAACAACGTCACCGGACCTCCCCTGAGGAACCTCCCCCACCACGTACTGCTCATCATCACACGTTGGACCTCCTCTGAGGAACCTTCCCTCAAGGTGTAACTGACCAGCTTGGCGAATAACAAACACACGGAGAACTCCACCACGCCCTGCGGGGACACAAGAAACAACGTCACCGGACCTCCCCTGAGGAACCTCCCCCACCACGTACTGCTCATCATCACACGTTGGACCTCCTCTGAGGAACCTTCCCTCAAGGTGTAACTGACCAGCTTGGCGAATAACAAACACACGGAGAACTCCACCACGCCCTGCGGGGACACAAGAAACAACGTCACCGGACCTCCCCTGAGGAACCTCCCCCACCACGTACTGCTCATCATCACACGTTGGACCTCCTCTGAGGAACCTTCCCTCAAGGTGTAACTGACCAGCTTGGCGAATAACAAACACACGGAGAACTCCACCACGCCCTGCGGGGACACAAGAAACAACGTCACCGGACCTCCCCTGAGGAACCTCCCCCACCACGTACTGCTCATCATCACACGTTGGACCTCCTCTGAGGAACCTTCCCTCAAGGTGTAACTGACCAGCTTGGCGAATAACAAACACACGGAGAACTCCACCACGCCCTGCGGGGACACAAGAAACAACGTCACCGGACCTCCCCTGAGGAACCTCCCCCACCACGTACTGCTCATCATCACACGTTGGACCTCCTCTGAGGAACCTTCCCTCAAGGTGTAACTGACCAGCTTGGCGAATAACAAACACACGGAGAACTCCACCACGCCCTGCGGGGACACAAGAAACAACGTCACCGGACCTCCCCTGAGGAACCTCCCCCACCACGTACTGCTCATCATCACACGTTGGACCTCCTCTGAGGAACCTTCCCTCAAGGTGTAACTGACCAGCTTGGCGAATAACAAACACACGGAGAACTCCACCACGCCCTGCGGGGACACAAGAAACAACGTCACCGGACCTCCCCTGAGGAACCTCCCCCACCACGTACTGCTCATCATCACACGTTGGACCTCCTCTGAGGAACCTTCCCTCAAGGTGTAACTGACCAGCTTGGCGAATAACAAACACACGGAGAACTCCACCACGCCCTGCGGGGACACAAGAAACAACGTCACCGGACCTCCCCTGAGGAACCTCCCCCACCACGTACTGCTCATCATCACACGTTGGACCTCCTCTGAGGAACCTTCCCTCCCCCAACACCTACTGCTCCTCATCACACGCTGGACCTCCCCTGAGGAACCTCCCCCAACACAAACTGCTCATCATCACACGTTGGACCTCCTCTGAGGAACCTTCCCTCCCCCAACACCTACTGCTCCTCATCACACGCTGGACCTCCACAGAGGAACCTTCCCTCCCCCAACACGTACTGCTCATCATCACACGCTGGACCTCCCCTGAGGAACCTCCCCTCCCCCAACACCTACTGCTCATCATCACACGCTGGACCTCCCCAGAGGAACCTCCCCTCCCCCAACACATACTGCTCATCATCACACGCTGGACCTCCCCAGAGGAACCTCCCCTCCCCCAACACATACTGCTCATCATCACACGCTGGACCTCCTCTGAGGAACCTCCCCCAACACATACAGCTCATCATCACACGCTGGACCTCCCCTGAGGAACCTCCCCCAACACATACTGCTCATCACCACACGCTGGACCTCCCCAGAGGAACCTTCCCCAACACGTACTGCTCATCATCACACTCTGCAGAACATCTCACCCAGTCAGGTTGCAGTGTTATTTTACTCACAGGAATTTGGAGGGCCCCGGAGAAGCTGATGGCGGATGAGGAACTTTTCCCATTGCTGGGCTCCTTCTGCAGGACGACGACGTGATGTGTGGGGTAGACGGGGGAGGGGCCCAACATGTTCTGTGTTTCCCACTAGGAGCAAAAGACTCGGGTCATCAATAGTCTGATAATAGGGACCCAGAACCCCCCTTTACCCAGAACCCCCCCCTTCACCCAGGACCCCCCCTTTACCCAGAGCCCCCCCCCAACCCAGAACCCCTTTTTTTTTGGGAACCCCCCTTTACCCAGGACCCCCCCTTTTATAAATCTGCATTTGCCCCCCACATCTTCTATCACCGGCCACCCTATAGTGGGGGGCGGGGCAAAGCTTATAACGCATTGATTGATCGGATTGGTCAGCTGAGCTCGGCGCCGTCCTCTGCAGAAGTCGGGTCTGCCAGACGTTCACACCCTCGTGTATCACAGAGTGTTCTCCGACATGTTTCAGGTGCCGGGGAAAGAACAAGGGAACGGTGCAGCGATGTTCTGGCCGTGCGGCAGGAGGAGTGTCAGTCAGGTGACTGGCCGCATAGAACTACAAATCATTCTGCGTTATCGATCCGTTTCCCCCGAACTCCTCCCCCTCAGGAGACCCGCAGGGGAGACCCCGCCCCTCCCCCCCTGCACATCACTTACCTTCTCCGCCTCCGACTCTTCTGCTCTCAGGATTTGATTCTGGATCTTAAAACCATTACAGGACAAACTGGGCGGAGCCTGTGGAGGAGACAACACCTGTGTCAGGTAATCCTGGAGGGGGAGGAGTCAGTGGAAGAAGCTCAATAGGAGGACGATCATGACTGGGGATCAGAGTCATACAATGCAAAGACATCGGAAGAGGAGCAGAGGACGGACATGACCGGGAATGTCCTACAATATAGGGAGCAGGGGACGGACATGACCGGGAATGTCCTACAATATAGGGAGCAGGGGACGGAGGTCTCG